AAATGTAGACAGCTGTGCCTCAGGCAGTAAAAGACAATGCATGAGTTTATTAAATAAATTTAAAAGCATTTCCCTTCAACAGGAGGAGAAGTAATAAATTGTGGCAGAGAAAGTGGGAGTGAGTGTGTAATTGTTTGTATTTGCATTTACTTTTGTGAATGTCTTTAAGAAACGATGGGAGGGAATGAAATGTAACATAAATACATCAACCTAACAAGTGCATAAATACCAAACATATATCCTCAGACACACACATTTACACATAACGAGAATTTAAAGGCTGTTTAAAGCCCTTATCAACTAAGCTGTTAAAAACTTGAACATATTATTTATTTAAAGTGGAGAACACACATGTGGAAACAGCTTCTCACTACAGAGGAAACCTATTTAACAGTCAATGTCCTACACAGTTAAGGAATTATATTGTTAATGTAGCATGGGTTAATTACAAAGTTTGACACAGCTGAGTATAACAAAAGTGCATTATTTCAAACTATTTTTTGTTTGTTGTTATTATTATTGGGTTTTGCAGCTTCAGCCCTTTCAAGTGTAAAATTGATTGTTTTGGATGGATGATGCTGCATTAAAACTATTTTTGTGTTAAAACGTTAGAATACTTTTAAATAGTTCCTCTGACAAAGACTGACATCAGAGTGTCAGGCTCTGAGGTGTTGAACCCAGGTACAGACATGAGCAACTCGAGGGTGAAATTTTTATATATATATTTAAATAGCCACAAACAAAAAGCTGACGTGGCAGCAAACTTAACAAAAATAGTGAACTGGTGGAGACACGGGGGTACAGAGTCTACGGACGAGGGACTAACAAAATGAGACATTGTTTAAAGACCAAACTAACGGAGGTAATGACAAACCTGGGAAGGATGATCAGGAGCAGGTGAGAGTGGGAGGAGCAGGAGCTGGAAACAAGAGGAGAGAAACACTGAGGAAGCTGGAAACAGGAGAAACAGACTCAGAGAACTAAAGAAATAAATCACAAGTACACCACAGAACACAAGGATTCTGACAGAGCATAAATACTTGGGTGTCCAGGGCAGTAACATTACCTTTTTTATTAATAGTTTCAGATTGCAAAAGAAAGAACAACACAAAAATCCTCCTACTGCTTCTTTTTCTGCAATAGCATGTAGGTAAAGAGGATTATTTTCTTGTCCATCTGCCTCCAGAGCTTTAAAACATTTTTGTTTCAGCGCCTAGAATGGATCAAATCAAATGCATTTCCAAAGCGCACATTTAATGTCAGTGACACTTTTATTTGTAAAGCTCTTAAAAAAACACAAGGTGGGTGTGTTTTACCGTTCGGTAAAACAAATGTAGTTAGACAATGATACAAATAAATAAATGTAAGAAATAATAAAAAAACAACCAAAGTTCATGCTCAATAATCCAGGTAAAAATCCAACAATGTTCAGTCAGGTCATCTGGACAGTTTATTTTTATTTTTGAGACATTTTGTCCTTCATCCAAAGGACTTCTTCAATCTGAGGAGCCACCAAACAAACTGAGTCCCACACGCAGAACACTCCCATCTATCCATCCATTTTCTTTACCCGCTTATTCCATTTTGGGTCACGGGGGTCGCCGGTGCCCATGTCCAGCAATCACTGTGCGAGAGGCGAGATACACCCTGGACAGGTCTCCAGTCCATCACAGGGACACATAGAGACAAACGAGACAAACAACCATTCACTCTCTCACTCACACCTAGGGACAATTTTGAGTTACCAGTCAGTCTAACATGCATGTTTTTGGTCTGTGAGAGGAAACCAGGAGTATCCAGAGAAAACCTATGCATGCATGGAGAGTACATGCAAACTCCAAAGGCTCCCGGAGCGGGATTTGAACCGGCAACCTTCTTGCTGAGAGGCAGCAGCTCTACCAGTTGTGCCACCGTGCTGCCCAAGGACGAAACAGTTCAGCAAAAGAAAAAAGAAAAAAAGAAAAAAATTTGAAACCGTCCAGATGACCTGACTGGACATTGTTGAATAAAAGAACAAGTAAAGCTAAAATACAATACAGAAACACACCATAAAACCATCAGCTCAACTGGATCTTAAATCCTGCTGGAATAAAATGCCAAAAAATAAAAAAAAATGGGTTTTGAGCATGGCAGCACGGTGGCGCAACTGGTAGAGCTGCTGCCTCTCAGTGAGCAGGTCCTTGGTTCAAACCCCGGTCCAGGGGCCTTTCTGGGTGGAGTTTGCATGTTCTCTCCGTGCATGCGTGGGTTTTCTCCGGATACTCCGGTTTCCTCCCACAGTCCAAAAACATGCATGTTAGGCTGATTGGTAACTCTAAATTGTCCCTAGGTGTGAGTGAGAGAGTGAATGGTTGTTTGTCTCGTTTGTCTCTATGTGTCCCTGTGATGGACTTGCGACCTGTCCAGGGTGTACCCCGCCCCTCGCACAGTGATTGCTGGACATGGGCACCAGCGACCCCCGTGACCCAAAATGGAATAAGCGGGTAAAGATAATGGATGGATGGATGGATGGATGGTTTTGAGCATATATTTAAAAGTCTTGACCGTCTCAGCGATCTGTATGTAAAGAGATAAACTATTCCACAGATGTGGAGCAGCAACTGCAAAAGACTTTCTGCAACCTGTTTTGGCTTTTTAGTGGTTGTTAAAGCACTCGCTAGTAAGAGTAGCAGACATAATTATTGTTGCATAATTTAAACAGTTAATTAACAGAAGTGAACACATTGTTAATTGTACTTGTGGCTCTCATGCATGACAATAGAAAGCAGAGAATTAAAACTCTTGAGTATTCGGAGTCTGAACGTCAGTGGCAGCCAAAGTACCAATGTTAATGTTTGTTGCTGTTTGTGCCACATTTTGAAATAGGACATATTTTACCCATTAACAAAATCATTCTGCTTTTTAACTTCACTTCAGCCAAAGGAAATGCTAGCTGGACTGAGACGCATATGTTTAAAAGTCAAGCCTTTAACACTAGTTATAGTGAACTTTGCAACAGGAGCCGATGAAAAGAGGCAGCCGCTGTCATTATGACCGGAGTCGTGTGTCAAACCGAGGCGTGAGCATCTTTGAACACATACATGCACAAAGCAAGCTAGATGTGTGTCTGTCACTCCTTAAAATATGTTATTAGTGTTTGTGAGGAGGGCATTTATGATGTGAGTTTACAGCAAATCACCTTGAACATCATGACATCATCATATCATGACAACTGCAAATTTCAGATGCTAGGATGTTTTATTGTACCATTAAATGACTAGTATCATTCTCTGCCATGAAAGGCAAGCAAACATGTTATCACATGTGTGCTAGTTTGTTTCTTTAGCAAAATATCTCAACCAATTAATAGGTTTTAATTAAACTCTCAGAAACATTATTACTATTTTAACTAAAAAACTTAAGGACACATAACCTGTTCAGGCCAAAGACGATTTATGCTGTTTCTGTTTCTGAAGTGTGCTGACAATTTAATCAGTTAATATACAACAATAATAAAATAATAGTTGTGTACATTTTAAGTTCATGCTTGGTTTTCTTAGCTTATTTTTTTAAACAAATGACTGCTTTATCTGCTTCAGTGAATGAGACATCCCTTATTCCACCTTTACCGGATGACAGCAGCTCCTGCTGCGTTCATGCTGTGACTGGTAGCTTCAATACTAAGGATGTTTGTTTTAATCACAACTCAGCACACTTGGGTAAAAGATTAGTTATTAACAGATTTGTTAATAGATGCAGTGGTGCTAACATGGGGATACTGTTTTCTGTAGGTGAACTGGGATTGAGGGGATAGAGCTAAGCAAATGATCATTTTGAGTTCATCAAGTGACTGATGGTATACTATGGAGCTCATTATTTTATATCACATACATACACCAATCTATATCATCAATTCAATTCAGTTTGTTTATATAGCACCAAATTACAACAGAAGTCATATCAGGGCACTGCACAGAAACATTCACATACATTTGAAGTCAACATTATTTATCTAAGGAGCCAACAGATTGCTTTGAGTTTTCACTTCATTGCAGTCTCTCATCCTAAGCAAGCGTGAAGGCAACAGTGGGAAGAAAAACCTCCCTCTTGAGGAAAAAACCTCCAGCAGAACCAGACTTGGTACAAGTGGCCATCTGCTTTGACCAGCTGGGTTTGAGAGGAACAGGAACAAAAAAAACCAACACACAGTGACAGGTCCATAATGGAGGCCATCGTGTTTTCTCTAGGAGGAAAGACAAAAACACAGAAATCACATGTTAAGAAATAATAATTACAAATACAAACTATTCATTTGTATGTATTTGTAATTGTTCTTTTGATGAAATGAAGTCAATTTGTTCCCCACTAGTCTAAGGTTAGAGCAGCATAGGATAAGGAATGTCAGGAAACCAGGCCGACTAACTATAGGATTTATCAAAAAGGAATGTCTTGAGCCGAGTCTTAAAACTGGACAATGTGTCAGCCTCATAGTCACAGACAGAAACTGGAAGTTGGTTCCTCAAGAGAGGAGCCTGATAACTGAAAGATCTTCCTCCCATTCTGATTTTGGAAACTCTAGGAACTGCAAGTAAACCTGCAGTCTGAGAGCAAAGTGCTCTGTTGGGAAAATATGGAGCAAGAAGATTTTTAATATAAGACGGAGCTATGTTGTTGAGGGCTTTGTAGGTTAGAAGTAAGATTTTGAATTATACTCTGAATTTGATAGGGAGCCAATGGAGAGAAGCTAAAACTGGAGAGATATGATCTCTCCTACCAATCAGAGGTCCTCTTTTCTTGAATGTCAGTTTTTTGATTCTGCAGTGTCTGAGACACTGAGGTAAAACCTTTCTATTCAGAAGAAAAAAAAAAAAAAATCAAAATGAAGTCCTGGATTCCTGTAATCTGTACAGAACATGGGATTTTGGAGGCAAAACACTGTTTTATTTTGTGTTTGTAGAAATGAATGTCTGCATTAATATGTATTTTTGTTCCACCCTCCTTTCCATACTTTTGTTCTACAGGCTGCATGAGGGATGTTCGCCTCAATGGTCGTTACATGCCACTGGACAGCCAGCCACGGGATGGGGTTTCCCAGGTCAGCGTGCAGGGACTCTCCAAAGGTTGCTCCTCTGACTCCTGCAGAAAGAACCAATGTAGCCCCCCCTTCACCTGCGTTGACCTGTGGAGAGTGCATGAATGCAGGTACGCACAGACGTGTGCACACAGATGTAGCTGCTCTACCAAACACACTCACACTTTAAGACTTTACACCTCGTGTGTTGTTTTCAGTCAAAGACATAAAGGCTGACCTTTAAACAACTTGTCGCCTTTAAAGCAACTTTTTTGTGTAGTTGGATTTTTGTTTTTGTTTTTTTTTGTTTTGTTTTGAGGTTTAGAAATGTGTTTTAAAATTACCTGTTCAAAGCCCTCATCAGAATGAGGTAAAACTGCAAAATAAAACCACTTTTTTTCATGTTTTATTCAATATAATTAAGTTTAATGATTTTTCAAACGCTGTTTATTACAAAAACATTTTTGTTCCAACTAGAATATTTAAGTTACCCTGCAGGAAAATATGATAGCCATGTAAAAACTTTGAAGTCAACAAAGATACTGAAAAAAAATAAAA